ACTCCTGTCCCACTGAAAATGTACATGTTCGTAATTCACACGGATACCCGCTAGAGGGCACTCTAGGCCCGTGTACTAGTATCTGCCACTCCTGTAAGTCACACTTTTTTTTGTCATCCTTCGATTTACATCTATGAGACCAAGACACATCTCCTTCGAGGGATAATAAAATGACCTGCTGTGCCGTATATAATATTATGAATAAACTCAGTGTCGTCAGATGAAATTCAGCACAATATAGTCATAAAACCCAGACCCTCGTGAATGTTATGGTCCCATATGAAAATGAAACGTTTACCGTACCCGAAGGTTTGTGCCTGGAAGACGTCCCTCCTGTTCACTTGACTGCAGCAGCCACTGCATGGGCAGCACGAGACATCTGCATTCAACAGCGAGTCTGCGTGTGACTGATGTCTGCACCCACGTGTGTGCGCGCGCGATCGCGTGCTTAAGTGTGTGTGTGTGTGTGTGCGCCCTACCTGCTGCTGCTGCTGCTGCTATATTTGTTTTGTGCTGTCGCCACAGTTGGTGCCGTGCGTCGGTTTCCACTGCGAAATACGATGATGAAACGTTTGAAGCAATTTGGCTGCTGCTTATTTCCAATCATCTCTTTCCTCTTTTCCTGATTTCCACAGAAAAGAGCAAAGAAACTTGAGGGTGAAAGTATTTATATCAGACATAGCAATTTAATGTTGGAGGTTTGTACCTTCAGTTCTTTTGGAACTCTCTATTCGCCTGACATCACCTTTTTCTGCCTTATTTGTCTCATTCTTGAGCTTTTTTTTTTTTCTTTTCTTTTTTTGCATGTTCTCAAAAATTTTTTCTTTTCATTTCTTCCTTTTTTCAGCTTAATCCTAAAGGCTTGGCATGCACCATTTTCCTCTCTGAATACAATGCAAGTAGTGGTCCATTTTTTCATTTTTTCACTTGATGAAATGTGCAACTGGGAAAGATTGCTTTTTCCTCCGAAACTTGCGGTCTCAGTTCACAAATATGAGGGACAAATAAATCAGTTATACATCAAAATGTATATTAAATATTAATATTCATTTGCATATTTTTTTATATTGATTAAAAAAATGTTTGAGTATTTACTGTATTTTGCAGTATCTTAATAACAGTTACCATTGTTGTGGTTTTAAAGGAATAAAATTGCAGTTTTCATAGCAAGGACTTAAATAAACACACTGAAATAGACATCAAAAGGTATGGTAACAACAACCATGGTTACTAAGTAGTAATAATAATAATAATGAAGTAATTATAATGGTATTCAAAAACAAAAATTACGTAAGAAAATAAAATGACCTGAGATCCATTTAATTAAATTAGTATTGATTTAACCATTTGCCGTTTGTTTTGCAGGTTTCGGCTTGGCTCATGCTATCTTGTTGCTTTGCTAAAATTTCTTCTGCTAGCTTGACCGTTATGTTATTGTTATAAGCCACTACATCGGAAACAAACTGAACTCGTTTGTGTAATAACACAGATTGAAAATTGTTTCTGTGGAATTTTGGGTCCAGCAAAGCCGCAAAACATATATGTATACATATATGTATATATATGTATGTATGTATGTATACATGTATGTATGTATATGTATATGTATATGTATAT